TCCCTGGCTACCATGTTTATCAGGGAACTTAAACTTCTAAAGACTAAACATATCCCTGAATAAAGTGGGCATAATTAGGGAGAAAAGTTCAAACTACATTCCCAGCATGCATTATAAGACTTGAAAACTACTAAAATGCTTTCTAATACTTACAGAGCAATTCAGAAAGAACATACCAGAGAAATTAAAGACAGCATATAGAAAGGATGAGAATCAGTCATGACTTTGGTCTACTTCCATAAAACTACCACCATAACTGAAGAGACAAAATAAATACATATATCTTGAATTATATAGCGTTAATGGAGTCCATGAAAACATAGAAAAACTTTGCATCTTTACTAAAAGTGCTTAAATTTGAACATATATGTAAAAGTTAATGATCCAAGCCACTAAAATGTATTTATATGAATACTGCATGAATCACAAAAGTATACTTGGTACTACTGAAATTACTAATTTCATTACAATCTTACATAAAGCCTATACACATTTTTTCATAAATTTCTTTTGACAGATTAGCTTATTTTCTGCTTCAGTGCTGTTCCTTTTTTCTCTCTAATTCATCATTCAAAATGATGAAACTGTACTTCCATACCTGCCTTGTTTCTTGGTGAAACAAGACTTCCATACCTGCCTTAAAGAAATGTACAGAAAAACATGGGCTGCAATTCTAATCCCATCTCTATTCACTGCAGAAAAGTATAGTCAGGCAAACACAAACTCTGAATTCTCTGGCATCGCTGCAAATGAGTTTTGGTAAGTGTGCAGTCTTTAGGATTTCAACAGAGATTTTCTGTTAACTGATATCAAACGTGAGTATTCACAGCTCTACTTTTTTTGTTTCTCAGAGCAATGCACTGAGCTATGAAATTTCTATTTCAAACTCATAAAATTATTTTTGCATCTTAAGAACCAGTGGTATTATTTCCCCTGTTTCACAGTTTGGCATATGCTCATCCACCTGGTAAGTTTTTTCAGCTGTTGGGTACATATGAATTCTGCCACACATACTGCCTCCAAGTAGCCCTCATTCCTTACAGAAAGTATAATGGCTATATCTGTCAGTTGAATACTTTTAAAAATACGTCTTTTTTCTCTAAGTACCATTAACTTCATTCTTTCTGCATTTTTTCACACTGGAGGGCAGAGCGTGCTCCCTGTTCTTCTGAGCAGCACAGGATTTCCTACATGTCAGAGATGCCTGAACACTTTTATACGCAGGGTCACAGACACCTTTTAGATGGGTACAAATAACAGACAAAAGAAAACCTGAAAGTTTCTACTACTTACTTTTACACACTTCCATAGATTAACTACAGACAACTCTCCACAGACCAAAGGATCGTCAGCTGTTTGGGAATAAGTGCAATGAAGCAGTCTCAGCCTTTTGCCACCTTCATGTTCTCCATGCTGAGGACAGGACCACGGTGCAGGTCTGCGTGTGGAAAGAACACTCTGGCCCTGCACAACAGTGCTGATGTTCTAGTTCACACATACTCGAGACCTTCTCGAGTTTATGCCACTGGTGTATGGTTTCTATGAAAATACATAGCAATGGAAGACCTGCACAGGGCAGCAGAGCTCTGTAATGCCATCATTTCACACCTGCATTAGTACACAATTGAACTGGGGCAGAAGGTCAACGACCCAGGCCCAATCATCCAGTTTGAGCAAAACCAAGTCCTTTTCAATATTTTGTCCCTTCCTGCCCAAATCCATTTTTGACTGAGCTCTAACAGTGAGTCATCATTTTCACTCCTCTTCCCTCCTTGTCCCCCAGCATAATAATTCATTTTGCCTTTTGATAAATAGAAAAAAATCATTTCCACATTAGAAAAACTAAAAATGACTGTAAGTGGAGAACAGATTTATGGCATTATTCATGAGTCCCAAATGAATGGAACATTTCAAAACTTTGCTTTAACAGGGTTCATAATGAAACACTGGTGTCAGATTTTGGCTATAACAGCATGAACAGTCCTGACACAATAAGTTCTCATCCAGTGACGCATGAACCTTGATATTATCTGACCTACTACTTATTCACAGTGAGATACAACATCTTTCTTTCATGATTATATATCGTAAGAGTCACGGCCATACAGAAGTCACACAAATAAAACAACTCTGAGGACTGGATTTTCCCCAGGCCACCACCATTCACATCATTCATCTTTTAGCTCTTGCCAACAGAAACACATGACTATTTACAGTGGGGGAGAAAGAAAGCCTTCCTGCTGGGCCATATATTCAGCAGTGTTGTAATCTGTCTTCAAACTGCTAAACCAATTCACACTCACTCTTGTCTCTCAGTCAGCAGCTACACAAAAAATTGTTTCAGTACATCAGTTAATAACATCCCTCTGAAGACCTGTGTCTGCTTCCCTAAAATGTAAATGTTTCCTTTTAAAAAGCATGAAGACAACCATCAGTCAGTGTACCAACACAAAGACATGTTGCTGTGCCTGAATCAACTGAGCTAAAACATTTGCATGGCATTTCATAATCAAAGAAATGTAACTCTTTGACAGTCCATTTTATCAAAGTGAATCACTTAAGGTACAGAAGGAGTAAGTTCAGTCAATTTGAAAGCAGCTTCAGATTTTTGATGTTATACTACTCACCTCTGAGCATGACTCTTAGGAAAGCTAAGTGTCCACAACTGCAACTGAAGACAATGAATGCATTGAAAACAGGTCTAATATATCCAGATGCTGCTGTCAGAATGGATGTAGTAATTTTTCTATCATTTACATAAGAAACGCTCAAAAGAACCATTCTGTGGTCCTACAGCACATAGAAAATAAGCCTCCTTAATTCTTTTTCCTGTGTCTTCAGAAGTATCCTATTTTTATTTCAATGATCCCTTCTAGGCCTGTAAGAATCTATCCGAAGAAAGACCTACTCCAAACCATCTATTGCTGTAACAATCCTACAGTCAAGGTTGTAACCAGATGATCTTTAAGGTGCCGTCCAACCCAAACCATTTTATGATTCTGTGATTTGTCTCTGGGATATTAAGATACCAGATATTTAGATTTCATAATCCAAAACCAAGTACCATAAAACATTGCAACTTAATTCTGAAACCTTAGAGTAGAATTTATTTTTATAGTATGTGTTTCTGGTTACACCCCTCAGCAATTGTAAAGATCCTTGCTGTTACAGTCTTGGAAAGGAAGAGACTGAAAAGACAATGTATGATAATTTACACTATGAATGATAGTTCTTATGAAGTTTATTTAGGATTATATGAGTAACATGAATAGTGTAGAAGTAGTTCATTACACTGAGTCTGGGAGGGAAGATCTATTCATGCTGTGGAACTACAGACTGGGGATTCAGGAGCTTTTGTCTTTGTGCTCATTTTTGCCACGCTCTTTTGCACCATTCTCAATTTTTTTACCCAAATAGACTGTCCTTAATGGAAGGCCTTCTCACTTCAGTTTATGAACAAAATTACTTGGATTCAGACAGAAGTATTACTTTTATGAAGCAAAACTTGCCATGGAGAGCTTTGGGACATTTGTGTTAAGGCTTTGTACATGCTTGGAGCACAGATTATTGCAACAAAATTAAAAAACATCTCTATGCACTATCTAGACACAATACAACTAATCTGGAGGCCAGTTTTCTTTGCTGGTTCACTAGCATGTACCAGATCCTCACAAAGAAATTGACAGATCCATCCTCAAGAAGTCTTTCCTTGAAAGACAAAAGACAACTAATCACCATGGCTGGCCTCACATATTCTTTTCTGCAGGTAAATTACAGAAAAGGGAATAAATGAATTAGTAACCAAACTTGCAACTTTCTGAGTCTGATAAACAGACTTTTTCTATAAAGAAAGAAAGGAATATACCTGTCTGCTTATTTTCCTCTGAGAATTGTAGAAACCAAAAACCACCTTAAGTTTCTGTTATATTGTTCTTCATAAGAATCTAGTAAGTGATTTTCCATCATTATAACATCACATTTCTTTTTCCTTTTTAGTGTGTGTTTGCTATACATATCTGGTCTTTATGTAAGATATAAAGATTGTATAGATATCAAGACCATGACACAACTTGGCAAGTGTTTGAAAGGAAAAATTGAACAATTTTCTATTTTGTGTGAAAATAATTTTGCAACCTCTTTTTCTGGATAAACAATGCTTCATACTGAAGCATATGTTATTCTCAAATATTATTAGAGATACCTGTGTCAGTGTGTGGAAAGACCAGGAGCAGGGGCATCTACTGTGTGTAGATTAGGCTGTGTGTGAGCTCACCTACCAGGGGGATGCACATTATGTACATATATATATTTCTGAGTACCAGACCATGACCATGATCAGCCAGAGGGGATAACAAGGTGGCATTGTTTGTGCCTGTGGGAGTACTGAGTGTGTCCATCTGTATTGACCTATGTGCCAGATCTGGCTGTATGCGTTGTATGTGTGTTTGTGTGCCTATTGGGAAGGCATGCTCGGCCTCGCTACCAGCTGGACATGAGCAGAAGGAGCTGTGGCAGCCCCACATCTATCTGCTGGATATATTACCTTAACTTTCTGAGAATAGGTCCTGTGTGTCAAGTTGAACATATGCATTCTATGTATATAATACTGTGTCACATTGTACTTATAACTAAGCACTTAAAATAACCTGACAACAGAACATGAAAAAAAGCTTTTACTGAAAAATGTTTTTCCCTAAAAATACCAAGGGAAATCTTTCACTTTAACCAGCCCATGCTATCTATACACAGAATAAAAAAAATCCCAAACCAATATTTGTGTTAGCATTTGCGGGAAACAAGATGTTTTAAACATACTGCTTTTCTTCACAAAATTCCCTTTTCCCCACTTCACAATTTATAAAGAAAATGCAGAGGCATTCTAAAGAGAGGGACTTGTCTCTTATATTTAATAATGAAAGTATTTACATTACAAATAAGCTAAAACCAGCAACACTTCTTAATGATTTTCTTTTTCCTGTTTTTGTTTCATGTGTACTTACATTCAAGGCAGTTGGTCCTGGAGGTCCTGCATCTCCCTAGTTAAAACAGTAACTAGTAAATAAATCAGCAATCTTTATAGCTACACATATTTAACCTCTGGGCATTTTAGAGGTTATGCACCACTGCGGAAGAAAATTCATTATAATCATCAAACATGCTCTCATTATGAAAATATATACATAAAGCAATATTCTTTTTTAGTAATGTCATAGAAGTACATAGTTCACCACAGGTTAAGTGAGAAAAATAGTGGCAGGCCTCTGCATAAATGAATCACAGCTTACTGCCCTGGACACTTACAGAAAGCAATCCTTCAAAACATGTTTGCATATGTTAAGTTGCAAGTTACAGCTTACATGCACAAGGTGGCCATGAAGCCAGTGTGACAGCTCACATATGTAAAGACATCTGACTGCATTAAAATGTTCACGGAATTAAACTGCCACGGTATGATTTGCGCTGTGAGACATTCAGGTTCAATCCATGGGAGCAAATCAGAGCACTCGGAGAGCAATTCAGAACACTGAATTTAGGCTCCTGCTCTGAATTCCTTTCAAAATTTGCTGTGGAAAAAAAATACTTGTCTTCCATATTTACAGTTAGTCTTATTCATATTCTTCAACCCTTAACCCTTGCTACACAAATGGCAGCAGTGGGTATTTAACACATGTAGTTAAGGGAATGCATTCAATAATACAATGCACACTGAAATATACATGCAACTTTACAGACGAAAAAGTACCTTTTCTCCTTTAGGACCAGCCACACCAGGACTACCAGGATCACCTTTTAGTCCCTGGGCAAAGAAGAAAAATGTCTATTTGTTGTCATCTGTGCAAAACATTGGACAAAATCCTGTATTGCTGTGAATTAGTGTATGTTAATCAACTAAGTCTTTAAATATTACCACATTGTTAGCATTACTATTTTATAATTCTTTATTTTCAGTATTTTGTGAACAGAGAAGCATCTACCAAAGACTGCATGTGTCTTTAACACATAATTAAACATACAAAGCCAAACTATCTACTTGATTGTGCCCCATTATAGAAAGTAGCATGTAGAAATACAAAGTTCCTTTGCAGTGCTAGTAGGTCTGCATCTTGCATGGCCAACAAAGACAAAATGCTAGAGAAAGTACTAGTACATTCACTCAACCTCTGATAAAATTGGAATTCTGTTTCAAGTAGCAATGCTGAGCTGGTCTAACCTGGTTCAAACTCTGACCTTCTCCAGGATTTGAAAACACAATTAGAGAAATAATGGAGTCCTTTATACCTCCCTCCTTAGTTCTCCTTCAGCTGGAGAAGCAGATAATAAATACTGCCTAATCTTACACGTTACATACGCAGCAATTTCACTATCACAGAATAACACAACAGTTTGGGTTGGGAGACCTTTAAGTCATCTAGTCAAACCCCTCTGCAATAAGCAGGGACATCTTCAACTAGATCAGATTGCTCAAAGCCCCATCTAACCTGGCCTTGAATGCTTCCAGGGATGGGGCATCTACCACCTCTCTGGGAAAACTGTTCCAGTGTTCCATCGTCCTTATTGTAAAAAAAATCCTCCTTATATCTAGCCTGAATTTACCCTCTAAAACACCTACAAGACAACTCGTCAGCTCCCAACACATAATCTTTGTTATCTTCTCCTTGCTGCAAAACACATGGAAAAGCAAGAGGTTTTGAAATATGCCCAGCAAATTCAAACAATTCTGCAGTAAGGAATTAACTTCTTTCTGATGCTGGACCAACATACCAGGAACTCATTTTTGTTTAAGCCAAGTCTTGTGCCTTCTCTCTGATCAATGGTTTAAAGGCATGCATCAGCAGAGCAGATACATTTTAAATCAAAGACAGCTCTACAGATTCAAAGATAGGTTTTACTAACTTAAGTTCTTCCCAGCCCCCTTTTTGCCCTTGCAAACTCTCATCCTCAGCACGCAGTAATTGGAAAGACAGAGATAACTGGCACGAAAATGATAAGTAACATCTGTGCCTTGGTGGGTACAGAAACATTAAATCAGTGAGTGTTCTAAATACTGCGTATTTGTGCAACTTCACTTCCTGCTAAAATTACATTAATTCACCATCTGGAAGGAACATCATTTAGAACTATATGAGCATTTAAGTACCCACTTCGGATTAAATTTGTGGTTGTTGTAAATACCCCTGATTTAGCTTTGATTTGTCCTTTATTAAGCTTGCCAAATATGTAATAGTTAAATCAGAAGTAGTTTTGCTGTTTGAACTTAAGAAAATGTAATAGGCAGATGGATTCAAAATCCAAGCCAAAAAATCGCTTTCTTTTTACAATCTGCATATTTATAACATAGTTTTAATATTGTCTCCATTTACTACATTCTACTTTTCACCTCCTTCTGAAAGGCTGCATAAAACACAATCAGTTCATGTTCTAAAAAGCCATTTTAGGGATTTTTGAGGTATGCAAATCGTATGGATCTGGTTCAAAATCAATATTAACAAATCACCAGTGGCGCAATAGGTTTAAGAGTTAGCTCTTAAGCTGTATATGTATGGAAGATAAAGGGGAAAAAGATCTGCAACTAACAAATGGAAAGATATATATATATTTATATCTCTGTGTTTCTCTGCTGAATAGAAATGACAACTGCAGACAAAAGACATTGAACCAAAGCCACACACTGTCAAACTATGGACCTCATTTTTCCTAATTGGTGTGTTTAAAGCTTTTAGTAGTGCTCCTGCAGTGCACCTTGGTAAACTATGCAGTTTGACAGCTACTGCAGAGTTGATGACCACAGAAGTCAACATCACATAAAAAGAACAAGGGGAAACTACATGTTTGACAACATGCCACACAGTCTTCAGCTGGTACTTTCTCTCCTCTGTAAGAACTACAGCTTGGTCTTTTTACAGGTCAGATAAACTTATATTATGGTTCCTCTATGGATATCGAAATGTAAAGTAAGTGTTAGGAAACACATGTATAGGGACAGCTCAAGGCTAATAAAACAACAACATGTGAAATATCAGAAATTATGGACTTTTTTTTTTTAGAAAGACAGGTAACTGTAACATGATTGCTGATCAACAGATAAATTGCTGGAATAACTATATCACAAATATCAAGAAGGGTGTAAACTCAGCAAAATTGAGGCTAACAGTTACTAAACTAGAGGCAAGGGGGTGTTTGCAAGGGAATGGCAATGGTACTTCCTCTGGTGGAAGGACTTTAAAGGAGAAGTTACCATACTGGTTGACACTATTTTTGACAAACATTTAATCAGACTTTTTTGTGATAGTAGTTTACTGGAGTCTTCGCCAGCCTACAAACTGAAGTAGATGAGGAGAGAAAACAATTAAAAAGCAGTAACTGTGTTTTAAAGCTTTAAAAAGGACCATGGCTTTACAAATTCATCAAGGGATGTGATTTTATATGTGTCGTGTATCTCAGCATTACTAGCACAAAAGGTGACAGGTTTTCTATTTGACGTTTCCCTTTAAACCAGGCCCAGTCTAATACAATGCTTGCTCTGCTCTGGAGCTCCATTGTGAAATAAAAATAACTTTACTTAGTGATGTGGTAAGTATGTTCCTTACCAGGCTGGAGAACATTTTATTCATTCAAAAGAAGTGCCAGGTATAACCAGAACCGGAAAACAAAACAGTTTTTCACTTCCTGTGATTTCAGTCATTTGGAAAAGATCAGAGGTCAAACATTTTTAGTGAGAAAAGGGAACAATGCAACACAAAGTCATAGAACAGTTTGGGTTAGAAGAGACCTTCAATGGTCACCTAGTCCAGCCTCCCCTGCAATAAGCAGGGACATCTTGAGCTAAATCGGGCTGCCCAGAGCCACATCCAGCCTGGCCTTAAATATCGCCAGAGATGGTGTACCCACCACCACTCTGGGCAACCTGTGCCAATGTTTCACCACCCTCACTGTAAAGAATTTTTAACTCGCATCCAGTCCTAATCTCTCTTTAAGTTTAAAACCATCACCCATTGTCCCCTAAGTCAATTTGTTTGGGTCAACATAATAATCTACAAACTGATACTACCATCATCTCAGTACCAAAATAACTGAATTGTCAACCTCGCATGAAAGTATCAGTAAGAAAACTCCTTCTGGAATTCAGGAACATTAGGAAAATTGTTGAATGCTACCTCCAAGTAAAACATGCTCTTTGTGCCCTAGTGCTTTACTTGATAAATTCTGACTTAACCTGCTCTAGCAGACTCACTGAGGCCTGAGAAAAGCATAGCATACACTGAAAATGTTTTCAGAGAGAAAAAGCAGTAGACAGTGCTTATACATCATCACAGGAAAGAGGTGAATCAGGTAAAATGTACTGGCAGCTGATAACAAATGTTCTTCCCAGTGAAAAAAATTCAAAGATCAGCTGAACCCCAACCAGAAGACTCCAGCAGCTTCTGCAGCAGCCAAGTGTTGACCACTATTTATGTGTCACACACTATGCTACATTCATGCAGCAATAGAAAATGCTGTAAGATTAGCATAATCTTCTGAGGAGAACAGGTTTTTCACTTTAAAAGATAACTGTTTGGAAAAGACTTCATTCAGCATTTACAATCCCCTGGCCTGCATTAGAAAATCTGGTTCAATCTCACATCAGGTTAAAATCTCCTAGAACAATACAAATTATCTAAAGTACTGGAAATACAGTAAACAATCCAACACACTAACCAACAATGTACAACCAAATTACAATAGATTGAATCAACAATCTCTACTGAGTAACCAAACTTGGAAATACTCTGATGAGTAAGACAACAGAACTATACTTGATCCACAGAGCAGCCTTAAAATCTAAATTTAAACAACAGCTTCAGAGTCACTGAGCTGTATACATTGGGATACTTCTTTTAACTTAGCAATGTATTTTCAAGGCTGCAAACTATATACTATTATTCAGCTTGTCTCATGTGCTTTCACATATTGCCATTGCTCTATTCTTGTTAATGTCATTCAAAACTTCAAATTACTATACTACCAGAATTTTCTGGATCCTGAGCAATGCCTACTATCCCCTTATACTTTTGCTCCTAACAGAATCCTCAAGCTCCAGATATAATTACAGTTCCCAACTTCATACTTTGAAGCAACAGGACTCTTCCTTTCCTATCCAAATATTTCCTTACAATGCCAAGAGATACTAAGAGAGTCCTAAGGGAGTTTGGGATTAGAGAAACAGACCATGAGGGTGTGAAGGTAAATAACTGTTACTATCTTATCAAGACATTTGATCCCTTTAAAAATGTTCGTGCTTCTGCTTCTTTTCCCACAAGCTGAAAAATTTAAAGGTCTGGTATGTATTCTGTCTTTCCATTTGAAACCTATCTGTTTTTCCATTGCTCACTTAACTTCAGAGGTCCATCCTTTGGCATCAGGTATGTAAAGTGTAACAACACCTTATGTAGGAAAGTTTTCTAAAAGTCACTTAGGGTACTGACTTTCAAAGCAGGAGGAAAAAAAATAAATAAAAAATTAGTGAATCATATAGTTTAAGAGATTATAAACTAGATTTTAATTTCAGGCCACTTTTTAAACTTTCTTTTTCTCCAATTTTTATGAAAGACATTATTCTTCCCCTAAATATGCATGACACGTGTTGATATATATGACATTTTTTTTTATTTTCACCTCCTTTTGCTAAGGGATTTAATTTATGTCAGCAAAACAGTAGTTGGACTGATAAGTCAACGACATAACTCCAAAAGGAGTCTAAAACTTTCAATGACAAAGATTTTTCTTTTCAATTCAGTTCGACTGACAAGCATATGAATATAACATCGATCTTACTCCACAATTTCATGGATATTTGTATTGCAAATTTGTCCTTATTCCATATGGGATATGATCAGAGACAGATAGAATCAACTAGGTTGGAAAAGACCTCTAAAATCATCAAGACCAACCATAACCCAAAGACTGCCAAGCACACCACTAAACCATGTCACTAAGGGCAAAATGATCTCCCCTCATGGCTGCCCCTCATGATCTCCACTCAAAGTCACACCCATCTACCCTCCATAGTGGCCTACTTTGTATAGCTGCCACCCCCCATCTACCCACACAGCCCACAGCTGCCCCTGCTCTCCCCTCCCAACTACCCCTCATGAGCACCCTTCACAAAGTCCACTCACAAGCTCCCCTCACGAACATCCCCCATGACTGCCCCTCCCAAACTCCCCTCCCAAACCCCCTTCACGAGCTCCCCTCATGCCTGCCTCTCACGAGCTCCCCTCATGCCTGCCCCTCACGAGCTCCCCTCATGCCTGCCCCTCACGAGCTCCCCTCATGCCTGCCCCTCACGAGCTCTCCTCATGCCTGCCCCTCACGAGCTCCCCTCATGCCTGCCCCTCACGAGCTCCCCTCATGCCTGCCCCTCACGAGCTCTCCTCATGCCTGCCTCTCACGAGCTCCCCTTACACCTGCCCCTCACGAGCTCTGCTCACGACTGCCCCTCATTAGCTCCCCTCATGACTGCCCCTCACAAACTCCTCTCATGAACTCTCCTTATGCCTGCCCCTCATGAGCTCTCCTCACAAGTTCCCCTCACACCTGCCCCTCACAAGCTCACCCCACAAGCTCCCCTCACAACTGTCCCTCTCAACTGCCCCTCACAAGCTCCCCTCACGCCTGCCTCTCACAAGCTCCCCTAATGACTGCCCCTCGTTAGCTCTCCTCACAAGCTCCTCTCATGACTGTCCCTCACACCTGCCCCCCATGAGCACCCCTCATGACTGCCCCTCACAACCTCCCCTAACAACTGCCCCTGTAGGCTGCTCCCCACCCTTCACGGACATCCCTCCACTCCCCTTATGACCTTCCCTATCCAATAGTCAAAATGTTACTTATCTCACTACATGTAATGAGGGACTGAGTGGCCCACAATTAAGCCATTCCACTTGATGCCTACTCATTCAAATTGAGCAAATGACTAGTTTGCCCTCTCCAAAGTGTGTATGTCAGTGGACTTGATGGAGAATAAACTGTATTTATGGGGATTTCTTTCAGGCAGTGTATCTGTGAATCGCCACTTGTTACAGCGATACAAATGACAGCATTATAAACGTCAAGTGGCTAAAAAAGTCTTAAGGGATAAACCAGAGATACTACTCAAACAAACTCACTGCTCATATTATACAGGCAAATACCTGCTTACAGATGTAATGTGAACACATACCACAGGAGGACTACATTAGCAGTATATTATGTTATTTATAACTACTCCTTAAGAGCTAAAAACAATGGCAATCCCATTACTAGTATTTATAGTAAGCATTCATGCTGTCAGATGGATTTTGAATAATGTCCCAGACTGGGACACGGTATTGTAGATCTTGGCACAGATTCCTGGAGTGATAAACTGGGAGATGTGCAGAGCAGTTAAATATATTCACAGTTCCTGCATCCAAACCTGGTTCTCAATGAGATTAACTGGCTCAGTTAGCACAACCAGTGAGGGATAAGGAAATTAAGCTTTTTAGATATCTCTTCAACATTACAGAAAATCTAGTTGCCAAATCAGATCTGGTTTCCCCTCTGCCATGCTACTTCATTTCAGCAAGAACTTTTTGTACAGCTAGGAAAATGCAAGTGGTAACAGCAAGCAAAATTGTTCTGTGACACCTACTTTGCTGATTTTGATTAAAATAAATTCCAATCTGTTTCTACCATTTGTGCAAGATAAAATGTTCAGTCATCATTTTCGAGTTCTTCAGTTGTGAGTATGGAAGCTCTGACTCCTCCAGGCAGAGACAACAGCTGCCAGCAGCCGGTACCACTAGCTTTAAGTGTTTTCAGGCGTTCTTTGTGCAGCACTGCAGATTACACCCATGTAAGCAGATTAACTTGATTATTTCAGAAATATCGGATGTTACATTTCTTTATGTGGAATGAGTTTGAGAGACACTGATAGCAACCAAGAGCCAATGACACACAGTCCTTTAAATTTAAACTTAATGACTGGCATCTCCATGCACAGTGATAACTGAATCCAAAGCATTTTATGTAAGTGTGGTTGTTAAAATGGAAGTATGTGTGGATTCAAACAATATTACATTGCCTTGCACAATTTTACTTCCAAAATATTTTAATGAGAGTTCCCATGATGATAATCTACCATTTCTTGACACATTACAATAGTTCAGTAAGTATTTAAAAATATAGAGGTCCAGTATTTCACTCTTTCACAGTGCCACTATGTAAAATATGTTCTAGAGTTCACCAGATACTTGGTATACCTTACTCTTCCTAAAAGGTTTATGGAACAAGATCCCGTGTAGTAAAAGAGATCGTGTAAGACCAACACAGAAATGTCCCAAGAGCTATGGAAAGAAACACAGATGTATTTTTTCCATGCTGTCAGCATATATGTATGCGTGACTGAAGTATATGGTTCACCTTTACAGACAGGCAGGCTACAAGAGAATACCTCTCTGAATACCTAAACGTAGTTTCAGCTCAGTACACAGTATATGTTTTCTTATGGAGGACATCAGCTATTAGTCAAGAATAGCCCAATAGCATTAAATTATAACAAATTACAATAGGAAAAATATTTTTATGTTTACAGTGCGCATAGAAAGCTAGATCACATAAAAAGTGTCATAATTATGTAGTCTGTTTTACTGTATTTTCAGTAGACCCAGCTATGCTGTCATAGCATTTTTTGGGTCAAATGCTGACCCTTTACTCTTTTGGCACAGTTGCTTAAAAAATCTTTGCTGCATGTTTTTTTCCAAATCCTGTATCTGGATTCCAGTCCTAATGCCAGTCATTCCCCACACAATTTGGACAGTCAGGTTCAGATCCCTCTGAGATGCTTTCTGCCTTCAACTGTGATGATTTGCAATAGGAGACCCAACAGTATCCTGAATTAAAACCTTAACCCAGGTTGACCCCCAACTAGGTCAAGGAGAAGGCAGGAAGGGAAGGAGGGGATAAAGAAAACTGCTGGCTTGCTTTACAAATCTAGTTTTTTTAATCTTGCTGTTGATTCAGGCTAATTGGCCATTTTGTATTGTGTTGAAAATAAAAACCTGAATTTCTGCTTTCTCACCTTGTTTTAATATACAAAAAAAAAATTTAAATTTTAAAATAAATTAGGCAAAAGTAAGGTGTATTGCTGGGCATGTCTATAGTGTTAGCTTAGGTTCAAGCTAGAATGTGAATTCAATGAGCAGGACTATCCAGTACTTTTAGACACAGATTCTTGCTCTACCTCAGGCCAGACTAATTAACTAAGTAGGCAGTGAAATTTTAACTCAAAGTCTCTATTATGAGCCACATGGCACAGTGAGTGACTGTCCCAGTTTTGATTGGGATAGAGTTAATTTTCTTCCCAGAAGCTGGTATAGTGCTGTGGTTTTGATTTGGTATGAGAACAATGCTGATAACACACCGATGTTTTGTTGTTGCTAAGTAGCACTTTAAATCAAGCACTTTACAGGTTCCCATGTTCTGTAGGAGCAAGAGGAGGGGCACAAGAAGTCGGGAGGGAGCACAGCCAGGATAGTTGATCCAAACTAGGAAAAAGGATATTCCATACCATAACACATCATGCCCAGTATGATGCCCAGCTGGAGGGAATTGCCTGAACACTGCTCCAGGTTGAGCTGAGTATCGGTCAGCGGTTGCGAGCAATTGTATTGTTATTCACTTGTGTTTCTTGGGGTTTATTTCCCTTTCTCTTTTCACTTTCATTGCAATTACTCTTATTACTATTATTATATTTTAGTTTACTTTAATTATTAAACTGTTCTTATCTCAGCCCACAAGTTTAACCTTTTTCTGATTGTCCCCATCCTACAGGGGTGCAGGGTTGGAGTGAGAGAGTGAGCTGGGGTTAAGCCACAACAGTGACCCATGGAGCTCACCCAGGAATGGCTAGCAGCCTGTATGTTTTGCTTTTCAGAAACCAAGGCTCCAGGCCTAGCTATACCCTTCCTCCAGAAATACTCTCTTTTCCAGCAGATTATCCAACCAGGAATGATTCTCATCTATACTGTGTTGCTTTAATCCCCACACTTGTTTCAGTTTTGCTCATGAGCCCTCAGCCTTCAGAAATATCATGGAACCTACCACATCCTAACTCACAGCTCCTCTGTCCAACTTGAAGCCCTAATACTCCTATCTCACCTGAATGAATCTTTTTCTTGCCCCATCATCTTGTGGATGTTACCTCTCCTGGTGTATATGTTTTCAAAATCCATCCTGACACAAATTCTAAATTTCATTGCTTAACCATCCCTCCCAAAAGTTTGTAACTTGACTGTTTCATTATCATTCAGTTTACCTCTCTTCCATGAACGCCTTCTGGTCCTGGTTCTCCTTTATCTCCTTTTTCACCCTAAAAGAATGAATATATATTTTATTTCATATAGAAGACAAATAATAACCCATGATGCTTTTTAACAGGAAAAATATTTTAAGATTCTTGTCTGTTCTACATGAAGTGCTACATATACATTGCTGACTGCACAAGTAAAAGTATTTCTTACATTCCAACAGAAATTCTTTCCAAATAAATGCCTCTGAAAAATGTCTAGCGCTCTGAGAGCTACAGTTATCTGTACTTCACAGCCCCACTGAAAGCCCACAAAGACACACCACAGAAAAACATTCTTGGGCCTCACAGTGCTCCAAGAACATGGTGGGGAAAAAGAAATTTACACTGGGCAAGTTTTGCTTTTGAAAATCTTAACATTGACATAAGATTAATTGTTTTCATTCTGAGGCTGTTTTTTTAATCATGAATTCTTGTTATATCTTACAACAAAACTGTTCTCAATATGATAATTTGTCTTTGACCCATACTGGTGTATGGTTCACAGATCACATCTGTAAAATGGAAAAAACTTATATGCTGAAAATTTTCTCACAAGTATGAATATGAACAAGATGAGGAATCAAAAGAAAAAAATGGTGGGAAGTATCCTTCAGAAGCAACTATACAGGCTGGTTCCTGTGTTTGCGCATGAAACACTGACTACAAAACACTATTCTTTCTAGGATACATAGAGGGATTCAGTTCTGTGTTAACTCTAACTACCATGCTATTCTAGTCAACATATTTCATCAAAGCAAACAAAATACACTTGCTTAAGAAGCATAATTTAAGGAGAATGCCTTCCAGAACCAACAAGTCCAAAATGCTTTATAATTGTATCTCTGTTACTAGACTGAACTTTGTTAAATCATAAAAGTAACTTAATTCTGATAAAAGCACAGGAACTTACTTTAGTAGTAGAATCAAAGCTCTTCATATCAACAAAAGAAAGCAAACAGCCCTGCACTGAATTTCCATTGTCTCCAGAGGACTACATTTGTCTGAGCAGAATCTATTCATTATGTCAGCATCATTTTCATAATTCTGTTAGGTAAATGGTATTGAACTGAGATCATTCAGCTAACTCCATTTGTGACACAGCCCTGATTCAGAGCTATTCCTCCAGTGGCAAGGACAGAGGGCATTTCATCTAATAATCAGTTTTGCAAAATGAGTTTGTATGAGCTTTCCCAAACAACTGAAGCCTACTAACAAATTAGCAACAGCAAACTTTTAATTTAATAATTCCATGCACAAGATGGCTTTGCTAGTTCATTGTTTCCATGTTAATACATCTTGTTGATAAGAAAATGAATGCTACACATTAGCGTGAATCATACTGTTTTTTCCTTATGTATTGCCTGTCTTGCTTCAAAGATGCAAAAGAACCTCAAAATCAAACCAGAAATGTATGCATTTACTGCAAAGTTTAAATGACACCAAATAAGTATAAGAATTTAACACTGGTTATTTTGGTGTGATTAAACTATAAAATCCTCTTTTTTTAACGGATTAAGGCATTGGTTGAGACAGTAATTTTCTTTCACCTTTTTTTTCTTTCCAGTTTAAAAAAAGAACAAATGAACTCCCAAACTTACATTCTTTTTTTAAATAGCTCACTTAAACTTTTAGATGAAATTGCAAAAATGGCATTTTACTTTTCATCACTGTGACCCACCGGACATTTACTGCTGCTTTCAGGATCTTTCAACCAGTTTTAGATACAGTTCTAGAATCTTGCAACAGCTACAAGGTACAGTTGAATATTTGACATACTACCTCCTTATCCAAATCCATTTCTAGAACATTTAAAAATCATTTGAATTTACGGAACTGTTTTTTCTTCTATGATTTCTTTATCTGCTTTCATACTTTAACAGAAAATGATATAAACATGTACAGCTCTACTTCAGAATTAGTAGCATCCTGAACGTAGAAGTATTATGTCATAATTTGCTATGCAACATCTACATTTACATAAAAACCTAAGTAGAGAGCCTAAGCCAAAAGATGATCCTTTCCTCACCCTTGCTTTACATTTGCCTTAATGTTAGATGGGCAGCATGTATAGAAGACTTAAATTTGAGATGTTTGTCAGTTTCTTAGACAAAATGATAAAAAGCACCCTCTGGTAATGAGCCTCAGACCTCTGCGGAGTCCCAAGAACCATGGGCATTCTGCCAGGTATGGGATTTTACTATGAATATATTCTGATTTTTTAATGGAGTAAATGATTTGTCCTTGCCAAGCCTGTTGTAGGGAATGTCCATGTTCTCTATGAAGCCAGAGTTCAAACAAAACAGAGGTCCAATTTTTACAATTTATTCTCATGAAAACTGAGCCAAGTCACACTCATTTCTGCCTTTGTGGAGTACACTATACAGCATAATTAACAGCTTCAAATCTAGCCAATTTGCAGAATTGCTGAAGCCACTTTCCAGTGTAGAGGCTTTTAATAATCAACATTGTGGCGTACTGCATAGATTAACAAAAAAGAGAGAAAAATGTGTTAATGATTTTTATATCTAATGTTCCTGCCTGCTTGTACTATATTCAGATGAGACAGTTAAAGACTATTTCTTACAAAAACAGGATGACAAAAGTCTGGAAGTGCCTTGCTGTGATTATTTGTTAACTAAAACTAATCCAACATAAATGGAATGATTTTTATTTCTTTGGGTGCATTCTGCTTTCAATTGCCCAAGAGGAACAAGCTGATGGGATTGCCCAGTATAATCACTGGGAGGAATTCAGTCTGCTCTGTGTAATAGCAGATACACTGAATTCAGTGGTAATTGAATTCCTTAATTAAACTGAATCCTTAATTAGAGCCAGGGCTTCATGCATGGCCTCTGCAAGATGAGAGAACCAGCCTCCAACTCACCTGTCCACTTTAAGGCTGCCTCATTATCCTTGCATGCTATTTCCTGCTTATTTTAAAAGCTCAGAGTGGATACCTTATAAATGTTAACTCCTGAAATTCCACAATTTTACCCTATGTATCTTTAAGATAGCTATGTGACTGTTCTTTTAAAAATACTCTTCTGTGTTTTGCTACAGCTCTGTCTCAGCAGAATGCTGTAAGTGAATTTGCTTTTCTTGCAACCATTTCTCTATAGCTTCTTTTAAATTGAACCCAGCTTATAGTAAATCTTACTGAGTTTTTCTAAATAAGTTATGAATTTAAAAATCAGCATCTCCAGTGTAAAAAACTCCTATAGTTCTTTTTGGTTTTGCTTACAGATGTCTGGAGAGCTGGGGTTATGAAGGGCTCCATTCTAAAAATATTCTTATTGACTGACCTGTAACCCTTTGCCAAATGTGGGATAGTATACTTCAGGAAGGCAGCAATACTCAGAGCAAAGTACCTCAGGGCTGCTGAGAAACTATACCATTTAAAATGAGTGGAAATCAAGGCAGACTAATGATTTTGTCTTAGTTCAGACTGGGAGGAAATATGCAAGGAAACAAAAGAGTGACACAAAAAGCTTATTTTCCAACAGGCTGTAACCCTGCACCACATAAGACTATCCTAACTAACCTAGCCTAACTACACAGGGTCAGAAAGAGACAGTATGAAACATTGCAGAAATATACTTCTATTTCTGGTAAACTAAAATCAATAGTGATGACCTGGAAGAACATCACCATGAAGCCTGTGTCTTCCCAAACCTGCCTATTTAGGATACTCAGACACAGCAAGAAAGCGAAGATCACAAAGCCTTGTAGTCACCAGGAATGCAGAAAGCTCGGTAGATACGCTTAGCAAGAATCTGTGACCAAAAACTTCTGATTCTAAACTGCGCCATCGCCATCTTGTGAAAGAGCCCCACGTGACAGGTGTCATGCCTGACCAAGCCAGATAGCATGTCAGGAGAAAGATCTTTCCTTCCTGCTTCACTTACATAGACTGAGCAATTCTGAAGATGTTCATATCAGCTAACTACTGATTAGTGTCAGTGCATCATGTTTCTAAGTTAGCTCCAAGCATTTCTTAGCCAGAGAGACTAGGCAAAAGCAAACTACTACCTCAAATGAGTCCAAAATTGTAGGCACAGAATGAGAATGGTATGAAGCCAGACCAGCCCATGGCTCCAAAACTGCACTGATTAATCGCCTTTTTCTGTCAGCAGGAACAAGGCAGCCATCCATTTTTATTCTTCAGAGAAAAACCTTAAAAAGCAAAATGACTTTGACCAGTCAGAACAGTAATTAAAAAGAAAATAAATAAATCAAGTCCAATAAATGTTACAGTGTAGTGCTCTCCAAATGGAGAAATCAAATGCACAAACCCCAAATAATCCCTGTAGCACTCTGCAGAAAAGGATCTAAGGATTATCATGGATCACATAGTGAGTAGGAATCTGTAATGCAAAGCTATTTTAAAAGGCTTACCCCCAGTTTCCATTTGCCAAATGCAAACTGAAGTTCTGTTTCACTTGCCAATGTTAAGAACAGTGAAAAACTGCGTCTAGTTGAGAGGACCGTAGTTTTCATGGAACTTCGTCAACTTTTAGGTATCTGCTTTTCTCCACAGCGGAATGATAGGGAGCTTGAAAAAAGCAGATAGAAGGGAAGAAGGAACATATCCCACTGATATGGGAAAGAATGCTATGAATGGGACAGTAAGTTTTCCATGACAATAATACAAATAACGGGTTTAATTTGTAGCCAAAAAGATTTGGGGGATGGGAGTAGGAGGAGATGGAAAACTGGGGTTAAAAAGGCAGAAAATTAGTGCAACAATCTATTTAAGAATAGAGTGAAATTGCCTTAGCTGTAGAATTTGCTGGAGAGTTCTCTAGATAGACTTGATAATACACATGTCTTTATGGGGTGAAGGAGATATAACCCCGTACACTCGTCTAGGATAACATCTCCTGTAGACTGGTCCTTGGTTCTGCTATGACTGCTCTCTCTTGGAAAATGTGACACAGTCAGATGTTAAAATAGTTTTACCTTTTCTTGGAATGATGTCCTTGTTAAGTAATAATTACAGTATTTTAGTAGGCACATAGAAT